GGTGGTGGCCGGTCGCCGTGGTCGGTGATGAGAGGGCGCTCAGGGTTGACTCCAATTAACCGAATCGTGCTGCTACTTACGAAAGCTAGCTTCCTAGTACTAAGTTTTAGCTTGTCCTTTGCGTGTTTAGCCAGTTTCCACTCTTCTTTTCTTTGAACTCGGGACCTATATATTATCCACAAATCAACGTGTATTAATAACTGCTAGTACTTCTTCCATCCCTAAATATTTGACGCCGTTGACTTTTTCAAACATGTTTAACCGTTCGTCTTATTTCAAAATTTTAAGTAATTATTAATTCTTTTCCTATTATTTGATTCATTCATTGTGAAATATACTTTTATGTATATATATAGTTTTACATATTTTACAAAAGTTTTTGAATAAGATGAACGGTCAAATATGTTTTAAAAGAGTATTTGCGTACGTTTACTGCCACCACCAATTGATATCCCCTCGTAAGATAGGACTTGATACAGTAGTCAAATAGAGCTCTCATCGATCAGAAAAAAGGGGAAAAAGAAGTCCACTAGAGCTCTAGATATATACTCCCTCTATCCAAAATATAATTATTTTTAAACTTTAACACGGTCTTCGAGATGTTATTTTGACCAACAATATCTATGTTTTAAATAAAAAGAGTTAGATATTATGATAGTTTGTTTAATGATAAATTTAGAAACATCAATTTTACATGATTGATTTTTTTTATTATTTTGCTATCAATAGTCAAAATTTAAAATATTTGATTTGGCATTATTGTAAAAATATTTATATTTTGTAACAGATGGAGTAGCCATATACTCCCTGTACGTATATACAATAATCAGACTTCCATTATATACATGCTGTAGTTGCTATATCTCTGAGGTTTTGGAATTATATATGAATCTCTGCACCATATGATCGAGACAACTCTATCCGTTCCAAAGAAAACCAACCTAGATATAGATTTAACACAACAACAATAAATTTGAACATAATCGTTGTTTTAGGTGGTGTCAACTCCTCATATAGACATTTTTTTAGACAGAATAAGTAGCTAAGCTACTCCCTCCGTCTCAAAAAAAGTGAATCTAAGACTGGATGTGACATATTATAGTACAGTAAATCTGGACAGATATATGTCAGATTCGATATACTAGAATATGTTACATATATAGTATTAAGTTAGTTTTTTATAGGACGTAGAGAGTATAGTTTGAACAAATCAACAGTACCTCAACTGTGATCGGCAGTACAAGAGAGGGAGAGATACGGAATCGCATGGATCCAGCACTAACCAGAAAGTTGCACAAAATTCAGAACACACAAGAGATTACCGCAGCAAGGCCAAATGGGCAATCCATTCCGTCCGCCCTGCGTTTTGTCGGGTCATTAGCCCGTTCCACGCGGAGTAGCCGCCGTGGCGCCGGCTGCCGGGGCGCTGGCCATTGGCCACTTACATCCGACCCGGGCCACCCGGCCTGCCGCCATTTGTCAGCTAGCCCACCAAAAAAGCAAGCCGTGCCGCCTGCATGCGCCGGCCCGGCGTGGGAAAAAACAAAGGCCGCAAATCCGCGTGAAACAGTCCATTTTGACTCCCTCGACTGTAACTCCAATCCGATTTATATCACTAGACCACAAAACCGGATATTTTTATATCACTGAACCACAAAACCGGATATCTTGACCCCACAGCTATTAAAATTGGTGCAATATAACTTTCTCGGTAATTTTAGAGGACGGTTTTATTGATGTGGTGCTTTGACTTAGTTTGACGGACTGACTGAACTTGTGGGACCCACATGTCAGTGCCGCCTCATCTTTTCCTTCTCTTTCTTTCTCTCTCTCTTCCTGGCACGGGCGACATAGGTGGGTGGCGCTGAGCCGGTCCATACCTCCCTTGACTGTACGGTGTGTGCAGTCGTCAGGGCGCACGAAGAGGGCTCCCTATGGTGGCGTCGAAGTCAGGTGTGGACAAGACAATGTAGCGCTGTGATGGCGAGGTAGGCGGTGGCCACAGCGGGAAGGGAATGAGAACGGGAGTGAGTCGGGCGCCGTAGTGACACCCACCTCCTTGGCTTGATGGTCGTATCCTCCTCGTTAGTTGCCATGGCTCGCACCTCTCTCCCGAGGACCTCACCTCCACGCTTCTCCTCCTCGGCGCGCTCGGTGTCCTCCTCCGCCGCCTAGCTCTGTGAGGCCGTTCACCGCGCTATGTACCCCACTCCCCTGCTATACCGACAAGAAAACATTTTGGGAGGAAGGAGTATGACATGTGGACCAAACTTTATTTTTATTTTCTTTGATGACTAGTGACGGAGCGTGGGGCTCCTCACCGGGAGACCGCGCAGGCCCCCCTTTGCCGGTTCGGCCGGGGGCCCTGGGTGAGGTTCTAAGCTCTTGATTTGTGGAAAGTTCGCGAGAGTAAAAACACACAAGACACGGGCGATGTATACAGGTTCGGGCCGCTGAGAAGCGTAATACCCTACTCCTGTGTTTTGGTGGATCTGTGTATGAAGAAGCTACAAAGTGCGAGCCAGCCCCCGATCGTTCTGGGATCCTTTTTCCTTCCCCCCCTTTCTCTAAGTGGGCAAGGTCCTCCTTTTATATCTCAAGGGGATACCACATGCACCATCTCTCCCTCTCTTTCTTACTTGACTTCTCTTCATTAATGGACGGAGATTTGTATGGCTGCCGTCCGAATGACCTTCTGATGGGACGGCCCATACCTACCTCCACTTCCGCCGGAAGCAGGCGCGACGTGGGAACATGGCTGTCTGCTGACGACATGACCATTGTCAGACCGGTCACAAATCGGTCATTCTTGTCCACCACGTGTCAGTTTAACAATCTGCATGTTCGCCCTTCTTCATACAATATCTTGCCTGTAATGGTTAGGATGAAGCCTGGCATATATCTGACCGGAACCAACGTGCCATCTCTAGGAGCTAACACGCCGGTTCCGGCTAGGGACGAGTGCTTGGAGGCTCTCGTCCTGACGGGATGGGGCGAGGCGTGCGTCAGACCGCCTGTCGCCACCTAACCCACGATCTGATCGGTCTGTGACTGGTCACTGACCGGATAAACGAGCGCGCTGCACTGCGCTACATGCGGCGTGACGCGCTTGTCCAAACCGCAATAAATGTGGTTAGGTGAGCCCCGCTATGCTCACCTACCCCATATACGCGGCGCAAAACCCACAAGGGGTCGGGGCGCCTCGGCCCTCGGGGCCGAGACGGGAGCGGTCCGACCCCTCGGGGAGACAAAGAGAAGGGCGACCGTATCACCCTCGGGCCCGACCCCCCCGAGGGGGTTAGGCCACGTGGGTGATCGTGTCTGCCTCAAGTCTCTAAGTCATGATACTCCCGGTCCCATGTCACCGACAACTAGGATGTCATGTGGACATCACGTTAGCAAATTGTTAACGACCTTCCCGCATCAACACAAATACCACTGTCAATATTATTTTGGGAAGTTAAATTACACTGATTTTAACAGTTAAGTGTGGTCAACATATCTGTTGTTGCGGACGAGGGTCCTGCATTAGATTCGGTCCATATTTAGGGACTCAAAGTAAACTTATTCCTTATTCTCCCCAGCTCTGGCTCTCCTGGGCCAAAGTGCCAAACCACCAGGCCGGCCTCTTTGGCGACCGCGACGCAGAACCACCGGGCATCTTTCCTTCTGCAGCGTTGGCTGTCAATTGGCACCACGTCGGTCGAGCTAGGCTGCTTTGCTTACTAGTCTAGCAGCCGAGGGAGACGTACGACGCGGCGGACCAGGGAGATGCATGCACCCATGGACCAATGCCTCCGGCGGTCAGGCCTCAAAAGGAGAAAAAAGATGATCGGCACTACCAGCCGCCGTTCCCTGTCCAATTTTCTTCGACGTGTCATTGTTTGAATGTTCAGCTAGTACGCACATCTGGAGTACTGGTTGACTTGCACCGAGTGATGTGTCTCTAAAGCTCCGGCAGGGCAATATGGTTATCCGGTAACACGTTTTTATTATTTTTTTCTCCCGTGAGAAAACTACCCCCACGATGTTTAGATGATTTTTAATTGTATGGATCGAAAAGATTGGCACTCATATAATCGAAAAAAAATGCACAAAATTGCAAACGTATAATAGCACAAAATGCACAATGGCCAAACAAATAAAGTCTGGTCCGGCGTCACCCCCCGGCATACAGTTCTTTGTTCTGGAGGGCCGGTCGAGGACCAGTTCAACCTACACGGCATGTTTTTACCCCTCTGTCACTGAAAATCCGGCAGAGTCAACCGCCTAAACAAACAAACAAAAAAAAACACATCAGAAAAGCACCCGAGTTGTTAAAGTGGGAAGAAAGAAAAATCACGGCGACGCGGAGACGAGGCGAGCCGAGTCCACTAGTCCACTGCCGTCTGCCCACCAAAACCCCACCCAGAATCGAACGATTCTCCGACGCAGCGTGCGGCCGGCAATTCCAAATGTAATACAGTACAGAATAGCTTATGCGTGGAGTAAGATCTAATATCAGATAGATACCGATTGTAATACCTATTGACACCTGACTCTTACACTTAGGTACCGTGCTAATGTTAGTATGGTATCGTAGATGTTACCGGGTTTAGTTCATGAGGTAAAGATACATCAGATTATTATATCTAAGTATCATGTTGACATCATAATAATATTAACTATTCAATTGAAACATTGCTACTCCCTCTGTCTTACAATGTAAGTTATTCTAGCATTTTCCACCTTCATATTTATGTTAATGAATCTAGAAATATATTCATTAATATCAATATGAATGTGGGAAATGTTAGTATGACTTACATTGTGAAACGAATGAAGTACTATTTTGTAAGAATATTTCTACGAAAAATGCTACAGGATGGTGCCCCGTATTCTCGTTCAGACGGAATGATGCCTCTGAGTTATCGTCGGATACTTATTAGGTATCGATCGATACCCTATTTAGACAGGTTGATATCTCTAAGGTATCGTGTGATACCTAATACTTATGATATCTCTGAGATGTAATCTGATATCTGATAAGTATCAACCAATACATTAAAAGTATCATTTCGTTCAAACGAGGTGCCGTTCTACAGCATTCCTATGTAAAACAAAACAATACCCTCCGTTTTAGTGAAAAAAGAAAACCCACGCGTCGCATTGACTTTTCCCTCCCGTTTCTTGCCTTTGCCGAGGTGAGCTCCACACACACACACACACACACACACTCTCTCTCTCTCTCTCTCTCTGCCCCACTCTGCCTGCCTCATGTTGAACCATTCCCCTTCCCATTCCCGACCCGGCTCGCTGTCCCCCCTCCTCCGCGTCCTCCTCCCCTCCCGCGCCGCCGCCGAGCGCCCGCCGCCGCTGAACTCCATCAGCTACCCCGAGCCCGCGGGGGCCTGCCGGGTGGCGATGGAATTCCCGTCGTCGACGTCGCCGTCGCCGTCGCCGTCGTCCGGGCAGCATCAGCAGCAGCCGACGACGCCGCGGCGGCAGCTTCAGGGCCCGCGCCCCCCGCGGCTCAACGTGCGGATGGAGTCGCACGCCATCAAGAAGCCGTCGTCCGGGGCGGCCGCGGCGGCGGCGCAGGCGCAGGCGCACCAGCTGCCGGCCCAGGCGCAGGCGAGGCGGGAGCAGCAGCAGCCGCCGCCGCGGGCGCCGGTGATCATCTACGACGCGTCGCCGAAGATTATCCACGCCAAGCCCAACGAGTTCATGGCGCTCGTGCAGCGGCTCACCGGCCCGGGGTCGGGGCCGCCGGCGCCGCCGCATCAGGGGGAGGCCCAGGCGCAGGACTACCCGATGATGGACGAGGCCGCCGCGCAGCAGTTCTTCCCGCCGGAGCTGCTGCTCTCGCCGTCGGCCGCGATGTCCCCGGCGGCGAGGCTGGCGACCATCGAGAGGTCCGTCCGCCCGATGCCCGAGCCGGCGCCGGAGTACGTGGACATCACGAACGGCGGCGGCGGCGGCGGGGTCGACGACGGCGGCCTCGCGGCGATCCTCGGCTCGATCCGGCCAGGCATCCTCTCCCCGCTCCCCTCCTCCCTCCCGCCCGCCGCCGTCCCCGGCCAGTTCTCGCCGCTCCCGTTCGACGCGAGCTGCATCAGCTGGCTCAACGAGCTGAGCCCCATCCTCCGGGCCGCCTCCGCCGGCGCCGCCTCGTCCGGCAGCGGCGGCGGCGGCAGCGGTGGCAACACCAGCAACGGCGGCGCCGCCCGCCCGCCGCCGTCCTACTACGCCGACCCATTCGTCCCCAGCCCACGTCACCTCCTCGCCACGCCCACCGTGCCGTCGCCGGCGACCTGCGCCGAGCTCTTCAGCAACCTGCCGGATCTCTAGCCCGCCGCCGGCCGCCGCATCCGTCCAAGGCAGCTTCAGTGGCAGAAGCTTAGCTCCATTTCCTCTTTTCTTTTTTTTCCCCTCCATTTTTTTTCTCTCTCTGGTAGGCTCAAGGTGGTGGGCCCGATCACTGATGACAAATTGATTAGTGCTCCGTTTCATCCATGCGCTTTGTTAATTATTCTTGGGCAAACCACTTAGCAATGAGAAGGAGCAAAGAGGAAAAGAATTGAGAAGAAGAAGAAAACCCCAAAAGAAACAATAGGCAGTGGCAAAAGTAGTAGCAGTAGCAGATGAGAGTGTAAGACTATAGAACAAACCGGCTGGCCCAGCCATGTCTCTTTTACTCCTAGTTTTCTTTTGATTCCGTTACATCTCTTGTGTAAGGTTAGGGAAAGATTGCTTGCTTAATGCATCATTTGTTTATTCTTTACTGCTGGTGTGCCTCTGATTGGATTTGGATTCTGCATGCTGACTTGGTGCACTAGACTAATAAAAACCGGTACTGTATGAGTAAAGTAAAATGAATGTTTTACTATACTACTCCCTCCGTCCCACAATATAAGAGATTTTGAGTTTTTTTGCTTGCAACATTTGATCACTCGTTTTATTTAATTTTTTTTGCAAATATAAAAAACGAAAAATTATGCTTAAAGTATTGTGGATAATAAAGTAAGTCACAAATAAAATAAACAATAATTTTAAAAAATTTTGAATAAAACGAGTGGTTAAACGTTATAAGCAAAAACTTAAAATCTCTTATATTATGGAACGGAGGGAGTATCACTACTAGTACTATGTTTCTTGTGATTAAATTGTGTGATGTTTGTGTGTGGACTGACCGTGTCAGTGGTAGCAAATGGAGTTTTCGTGCCGGCGGAAAATTGGAGAGGAGAGTAGTTGTTGTTGGGGCCGGGGGGCGGAGAAAAAAAACGGTGGTGGATAGGGATTTGCGGGTGTGAACGGGGAGGGGATTGGAAGGCTCCGTTTTTTTGTCGCTGGCGTCGCACGTGCTACGGGGGGGGGGGGGGGGGGGGGGGAAGATTCGGTGCACCCGTTCACGGCCGGGAAAAGAGGCTTCGCAGCCACGGACGCCCGGAAGGAGGGCAGAATGGGGGCCTGTGTCGTGCCGTTCTCCTCGCTCTTTTGCCATGTGGCTGTTCCTGAGGCCGTCGGTATCTTACGGGGACCAAAGATCCTTTACACTGAAATGCACGGTATCATTAACATATGGGTCCAGGGTTTCACATGTAAATGATAAAGTCAAGTGACTCCGATTACATAGAATAATGATCTATTTTTTGGTACTACGGATGTGTTTATTGCTGACCGTGCTGAGTTTGATGGATAAATTGTTAGTTATAAAGTATTGTAAAGTTGATAAAAAAATCAAGTCTATAATATACGAGACATAGTGAGATATTCGGCTGCTGGGTTGTGACTGCGCTCACTGCGAGCAGCCGCAGCCAGCACGAACAATGTTGTACTCACTGTGAGCAGCCGCAGCCGCAGCCGCCGGCCTACCGAACACTCCTAGTATTAAAAAAAATATGGTAAAACCGCAATTGTTGAGTTAAACAAACGTATATGCCTAATACCATCGCACAAACAAACAGACGACACACCAAACGGGGCAATGCTTATTTCACGACTATAAATTTTAGCTAAGGATTTCTTTTTCTTTACAACCGTAGTCTGTATATTTTATACGATCTGTATATCCTCATCTCTTTATTATATCATAAATTTTCAACGTGAATATGACATATGCTAAATATTAGCATTTGTCGATCTGGCGAGAAGATCATGGAGGAAATATTAATTCACACTATCTAATAACGTTCTATTTTATTTTTTTATTTTCGGCAAGGAATATTCAGTAATATATCGATGTATTTCAGATAGCTCTTTCGAGGCACCATATGAGTTTTCCAGTTAAGCATGTGGATTTTTCCTTTTTTAGAAATCGGTACTGCTCAATAGATATACGACTTACTTCCTCCATAAAAAAAAGGAAAATGCTAAATACTGGGATACCGTCGTGCTGCAGCTACTCGCGCCAGCTGAGGACGGCAGCGACGCGTGGGGCTTGGCCGCCGTCGCTGAGGTGCTGTGTTGACGAGCAGCGCGAGCTCGGCGTTGGAGCTTATGGACGTGGGTTGTCGCGACGGCCGGGGATGCAGCTGTCGCCGGAGTGGATAGACGTGGAGCAAGGAGGACACGGACGCCGGCGACGAGCTCCAACGTGGCGTGGACAGGGGAAGATGCGGCCGTCGGCAACGAGCTCCGGCATGGGGTGTGGATGATGGAGGATGTGGCTACCGCGACGAGCTCCGGCGTGGGGTGGAGGATGCCGGCAGCGGCGACTAGCTCCGGCGTGAGGCGTGGATGACGGAGGACGCGGCCGTCGGCGATGAGCTCCGACGTGGCACGGACAGGGGAGGATGCGGCCGTCGGCGACGAGCTCCGGCGTGAGGCGTGGATGGAGGATGCGGCCATCGGCGACTAGCTTCGGCATGAGGCGTGGATGACGTAGGACGCGGCCGCCGGCGATGAGCTCCGACATGGCGTGGAGCGTGGAGGACTTCACCGCCGGCGACAAGCTCTAGCGTGAGACGTGAATAGTGGGACCACCAGCGACGACACTTTGGTGCCCGGCTCCTGATACCTTGTAAGTATTACCTAATACGTGGTAAGAATCGCCTGATACCTTACAGGTTTCACCTGATACTTCGCAAGTATCACCTGATACATAATAGAAATCGCTTGATATTTGACAGGTTTCACCTGATACTTCGCAAGTATTACCTGATAAGTAGTAGGAATCGTCTGATACCTAACATGTTTCACCTGATACTTCGCAAGCATCACATAATACATGGTAGTAATCGCATGATACCTGATACCTCGCAAGTATCGCCTGATAAAGGTGAAGTATCAGGACATGATACCTCAGAGGTAGCAGGACCTAATATTTAACCGGTATCATCCCGTCCTAACGGGATTCTGCTGTATTAGCAGCCTCCAAAAAAACAAAGCTAGTTTGGTACGGAGGGAATAGCTCATTCCGACGATGAAATAGTGAACTCGCTCCTAAACAGCAGCAGGCAAACGTACAGCAAAATGAGTCAACATATATACTCCTACTTTTTCTGGAACTAAAGAGTCAATCAACATATATATACTCAACACTAGGTCACTAGCACTAGTAGCAACCATTAACCATGCATAGACTGTTGAGATTATAGACATATAATGATTTAATCTATTCCATAAATAAATCATGACATTACAGATGAAAACTAGCATGAACGCATCATTAGATCTATACATGTAAACTACACAGTACAACATGAACAGATCAAATATGCGCAACATATTGAACACGTACCGAGGTGACGGAAAGACCGGTTGTTTAGTCGAAACTTTTCGCAGGTGTCTACGAAGGCACGAAACACGCGAGCGAAGAGGAAGGCGAGCCGTCGCGAACGAACAGGGAGCAGTCGCGCGAAGCGCTTCCCGAAAACCTTATTGCCGCCTTCTCCCGGTGCAGAACGTCGAAGGCAGAGGTTCCGGAGACCTGCTCTCCCGATCGCCGGTGCACGCCGGCGAGCGGGATGGAGTAGTCTACGAGCGACGGCGCAGTACAGAGTAGGAGACAAACCCTAGATTGATTCGCAAGCGTTGTGTGAAGACGGCAAGTCGGTTTATATAGAGAAGGGTCGCTTGATCAGGGCGCCCGCACGATCTCTACTGCGCGTAACCGAACCGGATAAGTCGCGCGTAACTTATCCGGACTCCACGCCGTTTGCACGCACCGGATTTTTCGGAACGTTTCCAAAACAAAAACGAATCCGAATTTGCAGCAAAACAAAACTGCAAAAGGAGGTTGCATCTGCGCAAGGGTGAGGAGCCAATTTTTCGGACCATTCGACGCGTACGTCGTGCACGCGCGCCACCGGCCCGGCCCGGCCCGGCGAGGCGAGGCGAGCGAGCGCGCGCGTGTGTTTCCCCTCTTCTCTCCACCACACATGCTTCAAGTGGCTAGGAGGGCATCCTCCCTTTTAAGGAGGTCCCCCTCTCCTAGAATAAGCAAGGTGGTACTAAACTCCACATGCATGCCATCTCATGAGGTGGGCTTTTGTGATTTTCCAAAGAATTAATCTTCGAGTGGGCTAAGGCCCATTCATTAATTCCAACAATCCCCCACCAAATCTCAAAATCCCACTGAGATTTGCCTTTTCCAATGTACTGTTTATATACCAGCGGTTCGATGGAGACCAATTAAGGTTGAACATCCACCTAGAACTCCAAGCTACACTTACTCACAACTTGAACAATGGACTACGCCTTGAATTGCAAGTCTTGTGCAAGCAAGTTTCACTCAAAGTCTTATCTGGTACTAGACCGTCTGTAGACTACCCCTCGGGTGGAACGTATAAGTCATACTCCTAGGTCTTTAGTAAGCTTCCTAGAAGATTCACCCAAAATCTTCATAGACTGCGACCAACAGTCAAGCTCACAAAGGTGAGTTCTTTCAAGAATGCTCTGCAGGACAACATCTTTGCTAATTAAAGCCAACAGAACTCATTAAGGCATAGCCAACCTGCCTTGCAGCTCACGAGAGTATATGCATCTTCACTTGGAGAGGGTATATATATTGGTACTCTCCTCTAGTTTATTAATGGTTTGTTCTTCCCAGGATCTAATTCACGGGATCTCCGATCACATAGACTGGGTTACCACCATAGTATAACTCACATGGGTCTCAAACCCATCTCCTTCGATGCATTGTCTATCACATTTCGTGATAGTCCCTTCGTGAAGGGATCTGCCAGGTTTCTCGCTGTTTGGATGTAATCCAACGTTATAACTCCGGAGTTTCTTAATTTCCTGACAGACTTCAATCGTCTTTTCACATGTCTAGACGATTTCATATTATCCTTAGAACTATTCACTTTGACAATTACCGTTTGATTGTCACAGTTCATAAGGATAGCCGGCACCGGTTTTTCAACAACAGGCAGATCCATTAATAGATCACGCAGCCATTCTGCCTCAACAGTAGCAGTATCCAGTGCCGTTAGCTCTGCTTCCATGGTTGACCTCGTCAAAATTGTCTGTTTGCAAGACCTCCATGAAACAGCACCACCACCCAGTGTGAAAACATATCCACTAGTGGCTTTGATCTCATCCACATCAGAGATCCAGTTAAAATCACTATAACCCTCCAGTACCGCAGGATACCCAGTATAGTGAAGCCCCAATTCCACAGTACCTTTCAGATAGCGCATTACTCGCTCAAGCGCACGCCAGTGATCATCTCCCGGATTAGAGGTAAATCGGCTCAACTTGCTCACAGCAAAGGAGATATCAGGCCTAGTTGCACTAGCCAGGTACATCAACGAGCCAATGATTTGGGAGTATTCCAGT